GTTCATTGAAAAAACATATGTATAAAAAAAATTCATATGATCATAATTAATAGTGCAAAATTAACTATCTTTGACTTTCCATTTGGTAGTAATAATAAAATATTTTATATTTTTGCAGATTTGATTATCGCAATCAACATTCTGTTTTATAAATTAAAAAGTGTGCTGAATAAATTGTCTCATATTTTTCATTAAAAAAATGTTGGCCGTGAAAAAAAAAATATTATTTCCCAATTATAAATATAGATATGATTAATTTCCATTAAACAATTCCTCTAAGAAAAAGTGGTGGGACAAATTTCTGCATGATTATAGCATCAAAATATATCCAAAACATCAATATTTTAATGCATTAAAACCATACTTTCAGCAACAGAAAAGTCATATTAAACGGAAATTGGCAAAGTCAAAGAATAAGGATTGACAAGGCATTGTATGTAATGACATTGTCTGTAATGACAGATTGTTGTATAATATAGAAATATCAAGCATAATTAATAATCAACAAAAAAAAAGTCAAATCTATATGAAAAAAATCAAAATTAAAAACACAACAAATTATGTGGAACATTATTGGACACTATATGATATATAAAGAAAAATAATTTAATTTCCCTATCATTATCAGCACATTCAACTTTTACCAAGACATCTGGCTTTATATTAAAATCGATTTTTTGCGTAAAAGTTTTAAAAATAAAAATTCTTACAGATTCTTTTAAACATTAAACAACAAATTCATAATATGCGATAAATATATCTAAACAGATTTGTTATAAACTTACCTAGTATTTCCAAATTTTGAACAAAATACTAAAAAAATTGTAAAACTTCGAAGCAAAAGACTTTGAACAACTTTGAAAAGCGGTTTTGAACAAGTGTTAGCAAAGCTTCACTTACTGATATGATGAGAAAGCGGAGAAAGAATTGAACTATTTAGTTTTCAAAATCTGAACAAAATACATAAAAGTTACATATGTATGTTATAAACAGATATGAACAGATATGTTATAAACATACCTATATATTTGTTAGTAGAGCTGGAAAGATCTGTTATAAACTTACCTATTTTTCAAACCCTGAACAAAATACATAAAAGTTTGAAAATGTTCGACCAATGTCATGTTCTCTTCGAAAAACGATTTCGAAAAACATCTAAATAATTTCGAATTATGTATAAAATATGATATATCTTTGAAGCTTATTCAAAAAGAATTTCGAAAAACGAAACAGATCATTGAAAATAATAAAAAATAAAAACTATGTTTAACAAAAAATATTTCAGCTCTTCATAGATTTGTAATATTATTGCCCGATTTTGACTGACCTGTTAAGATTTAGCAACACAGATTAAGAAATCGGGACGAATATTTATTTTTCGATCACTACTGTTGGCCACAAAAACAACATTTCTCGGATGTTTTTATTTTATTTTATTTTATTTTTTAAGCCTTTACTGGGAGAAAATCTCCGGTAAAACATTTGTTTTGTATTGAATCTCGTCGAGTTTGTCGTAAGATCGGGTTAAGGATTAGGGTTTCAGACAGAGTGAATAACGAAAGAAGCGCCGACACCAAACAAAAAAATTGGCTTACATCACTCAAGGAGTTTATCTCTATTTATAGTCATGCTATCATTGACGTGTTTTATATTTGATTTTGACTTCTAATTTGGGCTTTTTTTTAATCATTCAATCAATATATTTCTTTATGGCCCAAAAATTGCCATTTTATTCAAATGTCTTAAATATTTGGCACATATCATTATTTATCAACAAAATACAATTATTTATTTTGTAATATTTTGCTGGTATTTTTTTAGTATTTTTTTAAAAAATTTCCTATATGATCTATACTACAAAATACAATAATTATTTACGAAAATAAAACCATTATATGTCTTAATTTGAAGATAGTGATTTGTAGTGATGGAGATTCTGTTGATAGAAAAACCACAAAACGTTGTATATAAAGAATTGATTAACAATATTTAGTTATTATTTTTTCGAACATTTTTTCAATGATTATATTATAATTTTTACTATTATTTATATCTTTTTATTATTTTTTTTTTATTATACTGCTTTCCGTGCAAATGCACGGGTTAAAAACTAGTTGCAACTAAAAACGTGTTTGTTTTCGCTACTATCTAGTATCTAGCCTAGCTTGTTCCCAACATCTCTCACTAACTTCCAAGAATCTCTCCCTCTCAGCTTATAATCTTTACAATCCCTCTCCAAATCCCTTGAAACGCTGTTCCACCGAACAGAAAAAAGAGTCCCACTATTCCAACCACAAAAAAATTTAACCAAAACCCCTCCATTAATTTCTACCCCCTTTTCCTTTTTTTTCTTCCAAAAATTTTATCCGAATATGTACAGTCTTGATGTGAACAGCAACAGCTCCGTCACCGGCGCATCATGGAGCCGGCAGGAGGACAAAGTTTTCGAGAAAGCTCTGGTAGAATTTCCAGACGGCGTCGACGACCGTTGGCGGCGGATCGCTGAAATTTTACCCAGTAAATCACCAGAGGAGGTCAGGGCACACTACGAGGCGCTGTTGTATGACATCGCCGAGATTGACTCGGGCCGAGTTGAGCTGCCGTGTTATTCGGATGAGTCGGCTGCGCTTGGGTGGGACGACCGACCTAGGCCGAGGACGTCGGCTCAGATCTCGTTCGGCTCTCGAGGTCGACACTCTGATATTGAACGGAAAAAAGGCACTCCTTGGACGGAAGATGAACACAGGTCCTTTCTCTTTTTTTCTTGTTAGTTTATTTATTATGGCCGAACAAAAGATAAAGATATTGACAACTCTGCTCTATGTTCATTGTAATTCAATGAAATTGGATTTGATCTTTATGGTTGAAGCCAGATGATATTATAGCAACTCTTTGGTTCTAAATCCCAGGTGGGGATTTAATCCAACCAATATATGGTTTTGATTGATTGAATGAGATTACTTACTATTTTCAGGGATCATTAATGGTGTGTTGGTACTAACTTCATTTAATATGCTCAAGGTTCTTGCCATTTGAAGCACATTAATTAACTTGCTCTGTATCATCATAATCCCTTTTTCTGATAATGCTTTGT